CACAGCTGAACCAGTCCATTTATTCGGCAACGTTTGCTCATGCCTTCCCCTCCCGCAGACGGTCTATGAGGCCACTTTATAAACAGGGGCTCTTACCCACACAGGATGGAGAGGAAGGGAACGTGGTGGAAATACGGCTTTTCTTTTCTTTTTTTTTTTTTTTTTTTGCTTTGACATTTATCTGCCCCATTTCCTGACCCCAGAATCTTATTTTCGTCATGATCTCGCATTGTTGAGTTTTCACAGAGTCTTGAGAGGCTTACACCTAACCAAGAGAAAGTACATTTCCAAGAGGAACATTTAGATCTGATTTTTCATGTAAAACCCTTGTCTTTCTTATGTAAAATTATGGGACTTTTTTTTTTTTTAAGATGGTTAATTCCACCATCAAGTAGATTGTACTTACTTGAGTTCAAACAGCTTTTTAAAAAAAAAAAACTGGGTGTTACACGCAAATCATGAATCATGGAACGCTGTATCAAAAACTACTGAAGCACTATATGGTGATTAACATAACCGAAAACAAAAAACAAGAGAATGTGAAAGTCACTCTTTCTCCCATGAAGTCCACAGATAAACCGCTGACCCCAAAGAAGAGCAGAAGAGTCCTCATTGGCTCTTCTCCTGGGCTGGGCTCTGCAGGGATGATTTCCAACCTGACTGAGCGATAGCTTGTCTCTGTCTCTCGGGATATTTTGCTCGAGTCCATGGCATCAGCCAGCTGCTGAAGGCATTTCTACGGAAGACAGAATGTCATTATCAAATTCTAAATCTTGGGGCTGGGGTAGATACCACCTTCTGGAGATTAAAGGTAAATGAAAATTCCCCTTCTTCTTTCCCGAATTGTTTCATTCGTGAAGGTGCCCGCCTGGTTCAAAAATGTTAAAAATATATTCAGAAGGAATGCAGTGACTGCCTGTCTCGCGCCCCTGTCCCCAGCTGCTTGCACCTGCTGCCACCCTCAGCCACATACGTGATGTCCCCAGGGCCTCGCTGAAGGATAGGTGCCTGGCTTCCCATCCTTTGCTGTTGCAACAGGGGTTATGATAAAAAAAAGTCCTTGTAGACATGTCCTCAGCACGTGTGGAAGAGCCCTGCCAGTGGAATTGTGAGACCCAGAGCCCCTGCATCTGCCATATTGACGATAAGGAAGAGGTTTCCTTTTTTATTATGTTATGTTACTCACCATTCATTACACCATTAGTTTTTGATGTAGCGTTCCGTGATTCATTGTTTGTGCATCACACCCAGTGCTCCGTGCAGAACGTGCCTTCCCCAATATCCATCACCAGGCTACACCATCCTCTCACCTCGCTCTCCTCTAGAACCCTCAGTTTGTTTTTCAGAGTCCATAGTCTCTCATGGTTCATCTCCCCCTCCCATTTCCCCACCTTCATTCTTCCCCTCCTGCTATCTTCTTTTTTTTTTTAACATATAATGTATTATTTCTTTCAGACGTACAGATCTGTGATGCAACAGTCTTACACAATTCACAGCGCTCACCATAGCACATACCCTCCCCAATGCCTTATCACCCAGCCACCCCATCCCTCCCACCCCCCACCACTCCAGCAACCCTGAGTTTGTTTCCTGAGATTAAGAATTCTTCGTATCAGTGAGGTCATACGATACATGTCTTTCTCTGATTGACTGATTTCGCTCAGCATAACACCCTCCAGTTCCATCCATGTCTGATAACGATGATTTTATGGTCGTCATGACAGTGTCCTCGGTACGGTTTGAGGATGTGCAAGGCTGGGTGATGGTGATATGAAACAAAGGCCTTTTGTAGCTGTTCCCTGATTTGGTCCCTCACCTGCTCTGTTAGGGGGCAAGAACAGGTGTATGTAACTACGCTCATTGACGGGAAAGGCGACGGGTCTGGTTAGTGGCAGAACCAGGACAATAGGACTGCAGCTCCTGCAAGTCCGGGTTCCTTCCCTGTTCTCTACACAGGGCCTTGTGCTTGTTCAGGGGAATCTTTGCGGTCTGTCGATTCACGGTGTGTGTGTACCTCAGGCCCCACGTCTGTGTCCCGTGTCATAAGTCATAAAGGCACAGCCACGGCGCTTACTAGGGCAGGTCCTGCTGGGAGAGTCTCCCGTGTATGTATTTCCTCAGGAATCCTCACAACCCCGTGAGGTGCTATCACTTTCTCTACTGTGCAGACGAGGAACGCTTGGCCCGGGGAGGTGAGTGACTTCCAGCGCCTCACAGCAGACACGTGGTGGAGCTGGGATCGGAAGCCCATTCCCCGGCTCCAGAGTGCCGGCCCTTTCCCCCCACCGTGCTCTCCTCTCACAGAAAAAGTAGTAGTACCACAAGCTGGTGCTCGCCCTCACAGTGTGGGGTGCTTTGTGATATTTGCTCTTGTATCCTATTTGATCCCCTAAATGCTGGTTCCCCCCCCGCCCCCCCCCCACAGTGGTTTCCTGACCCTCCCTAATCTGTCTCAGTCTGGGTTTTGGAAAAGTCTGTTAGGTTCTACTTCCCCAGCACCTCTCAGTGCGTCCCCACCTCTCAGTGTCCATCCCCGTGGCGGCTGCCCCAGTTCAGGCTCCCCATGACTTCTTCCCTGGACCTTCTTCCTGGATGGCTGTGAGATCCTCCTAACTTTTGTCCTCCGTCCGTTCTCCATGCGGAGACCAAAGTCACCTAAAAAATACATTTCTGACCATAGTGTTCGTAATTTAAGGCGCTAAGTCCACCTTTGCTGTTTGGGGCCTAGTGTTCAGTCCATGAAGATGGTCGGTCAATGTATGAGGGAATGCAGAATTAGAAAACGTACTGTGTATTTGTCCTCAGGATGAAGATCTTCTCCCAGGTAAGTATTCTGAGGTCGACTTTCCAATGATAGTCACGAGAAAGCCGCACAGCACCACGGAACCTCACTGTGGGGTTGCTCACAAGGTCCTCGATCTTGGGACGAGCACGTGGCCCTGCAATGCTCTATGAATGGAGAACACACAGGATGGACGTGCCATGCACACACGTGCTTTGGTCAGACTGAACTCCCCTTTTGACCCCACTATTGGGGAAAAAAAGAAGCAAAAGCTGTGGAAAACTCACACTTTCATATGTCTGCCAGCCTAAAGAGTAGGTCCAGTACAGCCACCTGCCCCAAAGACGTTGAAAGATGTGCCCCAGATAACGGGGCACATGACAGTCACCTGCAGGAGCTCTCAGAACCACCCGTCGTTCCTGTTGCAGCAGCCTGATGGTCTACCAATTCCGGTCTGTTCTGTCATTTCATAATCGATCATGTTTCCTGTCAAGCATTAAAGCAGCCCCAAAGAAACCTGGAGAAGAATCGGCTCCCAAATCCAAAGGGAGAAAGGCTTTTTCAAAAGCTATTCAAAATTAAACTAAAAGTCGTCCCAAGGCGTTTCCACAATTCTTTCCTCGCAGTTCCCAATTTCTCAATGTCAAGGTCTTGGGCAGTCCGGTCCACAGGGGCCCGGCTTTGGAGACAGCGGCACCTCTACAGTGCCTGGATGGACGCCCGAACCTCGTAGGCGGATCCGATGGGCTCTGATGGCCCCTTACTTATTTAGTGCCATGAGGCACTGGGAGGTGGAGGGTCTACAGCGGCGGGGCGACCCGGAAAGCCTGAGGCCATCGCCCGCAGAGCACAGCGTCCGCTCGGCCTGGGGCTCACTGGTTCCCGGAGTTTTCAGCCAGGGCAAAGCCCGGGGGAGGGCAGGGGAAGGCTCGGGTCCAGTGCGCCCAGGGCGATGCTGGGTGGGGCCTGGACAGAGGGCGACGGGGACAGCCGACCCACCCAGCTGCTCCCCAGGGGCTCGGGCAGCGGCACCGAGCCGGGCTCCAGGTCTTGGCGTGGCGCAGCCCCAGGCCCAGACCCCGAGGCCTGATGTGGGGCGGCGGCAAGGGACAGAGCGCGCGACCAGGAGAGCAGCCGGCCCTCCCGCGCCCGAGCCTGGTCTGGGCTCCTGCCGATCCGGATCGACGCGCTCGCCTGCCCACGGTCTGGTTGGTCAGCTGCTTCATGCAGCTGGATTGCTTCTTGCTGGCGGCGGCGGCGGGGGCCGGCACGGCCAGGGCCGGGCAGCTCGAGGAATCGCCCGGGGGGAGGGGGGCCGACGTCGCTTCATGTCCACCCGAGGCGGCAGTGGAAGCGGCTGTGGGCCCGGCGCCCCCCCCTCGCCGCCTCTCATCCAGTGGCGCGGCAGGTCGGGGCCTTGGGAGGCCAGACCCGGGACGCGGTACCCAGCCCGTCCTCCACCCAGGGCGGGAACCCCGGGGCCGCCCTGTGCAGGGCCCGGAGGCCCCCTCTCGGGCACCGCCACCGCCGCCCGCGACCCCCTGCCGGGTCCAGCCGCACACCTCCGCGAGGCAGCGGATGCGCGCAGCGCACGGAGCCACCGGTGAACCGCCAAACCCCGGTGTGGGACGCACTGTCCCCGCAGAGCTGGCAGGGCACGGAAGGACGGAACACTCTGGAGCCTCTGGAGGCTGGAAATGCCCAAAGTCTCCTTGAGGGCCGTGCCTCTGCGCAGGTGTAGATATTTGTCAAATGCACCTAGGATCTGCTCTCCTAGGTGAATGGATGCATTGCATGCATTGCATGCATTGCATGCATTTCCTGGGGGAAAGTCCAGGGCCAGATGCATTTTCTGTGGGCGGGCACCTGGGGGCAGTCAGGCAGGAGCACTCGCTAGGGGCCCACCCAGGACAGCCAGGAAGCGGGGAACAGGGGAAGGGGCCCAGCCCTGCGTGGGAAGTCGTGGGGCTGAGCGTCTGGGACCGGGACCGGTGGCCAGAGTCGGCCCTGGGAAGGCCCAAGGTCTCGGGCTTTCCTAGCAACGTGGCCTGCGCAGGGGAGGCGCGTGCCGGGCCCGCGCAGGCGTTGCCTAGAAACGCCTGTTGTCTTCTGATTCTTAGCCTGGCGCAAGCAGGCGTTCTGGGACACTTGGCGGGGTAGTCCGACTGCGCTGGACGCTTTTCCACAGCGGACCGCGACAGTTATATGACCCGCGAAGATGTGCTCCTGGGTTGGTGGCCTGGGCTCTGGCCTAGGCCATTCCCAGGGAGGAGTGGATGGCAGTGAGACTTCCTTGACCGGCTCCAACTCGGATCTCACCATGGACTTTGGTGATGTCATATCATCTCAGACAGAAATCAATAGACTCCTCAATGAGATCCAAAGACTGGAGGCTGATCTTACACTTTGGAAACATTTGTCCAAGGGACCGAATAGCTCAGACTCCAATGCCATCTGGAAACTGAAGAGCACCATCAGGGACCTAGAAGAGAGGCGGATGAGGGAGATCGAGGAACATCAACTCGGAGTTGCGATACTGCACAGTGTCCATCAAGAAAAACTGGCCGACATCACTGACAGGCACCGCAAACAACTCCTCGAGTATGAAAGACGGATAGAAGACCTGCAACATCAAGAGTCTGCCAGTCATGGGAAAGATGACTTACTTCAAGAAAGGGAAACTGAGCTTAGAAGGTTGAAGCAACAACTTGCAGAAATGGAGCGGCTGAATGACCGTTTAAACAACGTTGCTTCTGATCTCAGAGCAGAAAACCAAAAGTTGGTTTTGGCGCTCCAGGATGTAAGACATCAGCTGGAAGAATCTATTCTCCGGAACAACGAGGATTCTCTGGAAAACAACACTGCTGTGAGGGCTTTAAAAATAGAAAAAGGACGGTTAATAGCAAAATTGGCTCGGGCGGAAAAGAAGCTGTTGGAGGAAACAAACAAGGATGAGCAAACTATCAAAGAATTGTCCCCTTTAGAGCATGTGCATTGCATTCAACACAGTCAAGAGAAAGACCTGGAAATAGTACACCTCAAAAAGAGGATCGAGCAGATGGACGCCGACCATACAGAAACGAAGGAAATGCTGTCCTCTGCTCTGGAGGAGCAGAAGCGATTGACACAACTCGTTAAAGAGAAAGAGATGTATATTGAAGAACTTACAGGAAGTCCAGAGCTTCAGGAGGAATTCGGTCAGTCTACCCAAACCTTCAGAAGTAATGACATTTCCCAGCCATCCGTGGAGGACAAAGACAGGTGTCTCCCATCCGTGACAGGCGAAAATCCTCATCTGAGAGAAGAACTGGAGAGCCTAGGACAACAGAGTCGCTCTGTTCCTGCGCTCGACCCTAAAATCCTAGACGAGATCGTAGAACTGGAGTGTGAGGTGTTTCAACTCCAGGAGTTAAAGGATGATCTCGAGGAGGAAATCAGAGAGCAGCAGAAGATCATTCACAACCAGCAGCAGGGGAAGATAGGACTGCTTCATTCTTTACAAGAGCAGAAGCAGAAAGTGGAGCAGCTCCAATACCAGCAGGAGCAGATGAATATTGAACACGCTCAGCTCCTTTCAGCGAAAGACGAGGAGATTCAGCATTTGCAGGACACGATAGACCAAATGAAAGCCCGGTTGCCTGACAAAAGCCAGCACATTCCGACAGAAGACTGTGATGATGTGGAAGTCCCAACCAGTCAGCCTCTTCCCAGACAAAACGCAAGTGAAAAGCTTGATTCACGTGAAGCCGAAACTCAAATATCAGTCCTAGGAATCAAAGAACACGAACTGGAGATGAAGCTTCTAACTGAACAGAACATCCGACTGACGGAACAGATGGATCGGCTCTCCAAAGAGGAGATTGGTAAACTAACTCAGATTATCCAGCAGAAAGACTTGGAGATTCAGGGTCTTTCCAGCAGGATCTCTGCGGCTTCTCACAGCCAGAACGGGGACGTGGAGCGACTTCAGCGGCAATTGCAAGAGTACGCTTGGAAAAGCGAACAGGTCTTGGCGGTCTTAAATGAGAAAACGAGGGAGAACAGCAATCTGAGGACAGAGTATGACAAAATGGCGGATAGGATGGCTGCCACAGAAGCAGACCTCCGGCGGATGCAAGAGGAAAATCAAAAACTGTCCACTAGAATGGACAGTAGTGGTCAGGAGATGTTTAGAGAAACGATTCAGAATTTATCACACATCGTTCGAGAAAAAGACCTCGAAGTGGATGCGTTAAGTCAGAAATGTCAGACTTTATTGACACTCCTGCAACCCTCCAGCCCTGGTAATGAGGTTCGAGGCGTTCATATGGATCAGTTCAAGCAGCTTCTACAGGAACGGGACACATTAAAACAGCGAGTGAAGATCATGGAAGAGTGGAAACAGCAGGTGATGACCACAGTCCAAAATATGAAGCGTGAGTCACCCCAGCTTGAGAGAGAGCTGGCACAACTCCAGGCGCGGGCTTTCACCAGCAGCGAGAAGGATTCTGAACTACCGACGACCTCTAGTGACCTGATGCAGACGTACAAAGGCAATGAAATAAAATTACAACATTTAGAGAAGGAACTGGCACAAATTCAGCTCAGCATCGGGGAGCTTTGCAATGCCAAGGATCTCCTTCTAGGGAAACTGGACGTGATTTTCCTCGAGCCCTCCCCCGACTGCTCAGAGTCAGCGGACTCTCTGGAGCCCGTGAAATCTGACAGAGTGGGTGAGGCTTCTGAGTTGCTCCAAGTGGAGGTAGAAGAGCTGAGAAAATCAATGCAAGAAAAAGATAGGATGATTCGAACCCTCCAGGAAGATAAGCAGAGATGGACTGATTCAGTGGCTGCCACGTGGGAAGGAGAAGGCCCAGAACAGGAACACAGGGATTCCGACATCGAGCAGCTGAAGGAGAAACAGGCCGTTCTACAAAACTTCATTCGGGATCAGGAGCTCCGAATCCAAGCGAAAAGTGAGGACTTGCTTTCTTTGCAGGAGAACTTCCGTAGCCAAGTGAGTGAAAATGAACTTTTGAGGCAGACGGTCACCAATCTGAAGGAGAGAATAGCAGAGTTGGAAATGGATGTGTGTCAACCGAGAGAGGAAAATGCAAAAGTCGAGGAAAACTCTCGAGAAAAGGCAGTGGGAGATGAGGCACTGCAAGAGACAGATAGGCTGCTTTCAGTGATGCGGAGAGAGGAGGAATCCCAGGGTGCTGCGATGAAAGAGAAGGCACTTGCTTTGGAGCAACTATCGCAAGAGAGAGAAGAGCACGAGACCGGGGTATTGAACCGGCCGGTCAGTGCAGTTCCATCAATGCAGGGAAAGACAGTTCTGTGCCAACAGGGGAGAGATGAAGTCCTGTTGGCCCTGACACAGAAACAAATGGAAACCTGTGCCCTCCAGAAGGAGGTTCGCCATTTACGTGAGAGCGAATTACGCCTAACCCAGGAGCTGGAGAGACGGCGACACCTCGCTCTAGAAGCCGAAGACGCTCATCGCCGGGAAGCTCTGGCCTCAGAAGACAAAGTGGCTCAACTCAGGAAGGAAGTGACGGTCTTGCAGGGAAGACTCGTTTTGTCTTCCACTGCCATGGAAAATGCCAGCCGAGGAGCCAGTCTGCAGGTAGAGTCGCTGCAGGAGCAACTGCACGTGGTGACCCAGCAGAAAGAGGACACTGCGCTCCAGCTTGCTGCCTCGCAGGAAGAAGGAAGGCAGTATGGTCACATCCTAGCTGACCTCAAGTTGGAACTCGCCGAATGGATGGAAAAGGCAGACAGCCTCGAAGGAAAACTGAAGTCATTGCAGGGACGATTACATAAAACAAATGCTGACTTGGAGCTGAAGGAAGACCAACTCCAAGAATTCCAGAAACAGAATGAGGTCCAGCAGGAAATCCTGGAGGACACACAGAAGAAACTGATGAACTTAGTCAGTAAGTCCGAAGGAATGGTGGACAAAACCCTACTAAGGAGACTCTTCCTGGGATCTTTCCAAGCCCCTGACGCTGAACGGCAGGAAGCCTTAAGGTTGATGGGAAGCATGCTGGGGATCCGAGAAGACCAGATGCGGCAGCTGTTCAGTGAAGGGCCAGGTGGTGGTACCAGCTGGATGAGTCGGGGGCCTGGATCCAAAAGCGCCCCCAACACACATGTGAAGCCAAATCACCGACCTATGGCCAAGAATTCTTTTTCAGGGCTTTTCGTCCAGTTTCTAGAAGCGGAATCTCATTCAGCTTTGCCACCACCAAAGCCCTCTGCTCATGACGTGAAGCCCCCAGATCCCGGAGGAAGGGGAAAACTGGCTATGAAACAAGGCCCAGCACGTCTGAACACTACCCTAGCATCCACATCCCGGAAAAAAGATGTGAAGCCCCGCACCACAACGGTGTCTCTTATTACCCCACCTGGACCGGAAGCGGATGGATCGGAGCACCTTCTTCTAAATGCCGTCACTGATGCTTTGCCCACGTACGCACCCCAAATACTGTCACCTGCGGAGAAGGTTGGAATGGCGGCCAAAGGCCTCTCAAAGAAATAGAGGATTCTCAAGCCAGAGATGAGACAGTGCTCGGAAGACCCCAAGTCACTCTGTGTGTTTACCTAATCCCAAAATGTCCTTTTGCAAAACGTAATATATTTGCAGTCTTGCTTTCAGCTTAATAAAAATATTCTTTTATGAGTTAACAAAAAAAGGCATCTTTTAATGACTGCAGAGGTATTCACCAAACTGAAAATGGTGGGTATTTCTTATGAGAGTAGACACTGGTGGGGTTGGGGGCTGCGGTCAATGGTACTTCCAGTATTGTTTGTAATGCTTTGATGTTTTCATAAGGAGCATGTATATACATATACCTTTGGTAAGGAAAACATCCACTCGTTTTAATGTTCCCAACTTATCAAATACATGAGCACCCACGCCTTGTTGGAGAAACTGGGTGTATAGCATGAAAGTTTAAGATGAATACATTTTTTTAAAAAATGCGAGTTTGATTTTCCCAGTTATGTCCCATTTCTCTTTCTCCTTTTTTATTTTTAATTGTTTTTTCCATTTCATTTTATGTTGCCTGGGAATCTACTTCATGGGTAACCTGATTTATCTCAGGCCTTTAGAAATATATGTATATTTGTCTTTTTGGGCGTATAGTATTCTATGACTTGCTTTTAAAAAAAAAAAATCACTCTGCCTTCGAGATCTTTACAAATGTGAATGAATTCCAATTCATTCTTTAAAAGGAAATGCAGGCCTTTGTGGATATACCCTAAATTACCGAACTAGCTCCTACTGATCAGTATTTAATCAGTTTTTACTTCAAATGTCCATGGTCAACTCCCTTGTTCCTTTCCTCAGAAGCCACTCCAAATCTTCGTTTGCAGTGCCAGGCTCATTACTCCACTATACTCTGGAAACCATCCACTCAAACTTCTTTTCTTCTCCTTCTCCTTCTCCTTCTCCTCCTTCTCCTTCTCCTTCTCCTTCTCCTTCTCCTTCTTCTCCTTCTCCTTCTCCTTCTCCTTCTCCTTCTTCTTCCTTCTCCCTCTTCTTCTTCTTCTTCTTCTTCTTCTTCTTCTTCTTCTTCTTCTTCTTCTTCTTCTTCTTCTTCTTCTTCTTCTTTTTAACGATTTTATTTATTTATTTGACAGAGCAGGAGAGCACAGGCAGGGCGGGTGGCAGAGGGCGAAGGAGAAGCAGGCCCCTTGCTGAGCAGGGAGCCTGATGTGGTGCTTGATTCCCGGGTCACTGAGATCATGACCTGAACCAAAGGCAGACGCTAAACTGACTGAGCCACCCAGGCGCCTCCCATTCAGACTTCTTGAAAGATCTCATTCCATTAATTTTCCATTGTGCTGTATCTTCAGCCTGCCAAATATCTTAAATCCTTCCCTCCCTTTCTGTTGCCAGTGCTCTGGTTCACCCATTCCTGTCTCTTGCACAGACTAGTGCAGTAGACTGCCTACTGATCTTGCTGGTTCCACACTCGGCCTCCTTTGAATCCATTCTCCATGCTGCTGTCAGGGCGAACTGAGACGAAAATCTGATGTCACTTCCCTGCTGCCATTATTTGTGGGTTCCCTCATTGCTTGGAGTTCGACCTTTAGGAGACCATCCAAGCCCTTGCTTTTGCAGCCTTCCCTCCTGCGCATCATTCACATACAGGCTGCCCTTTAGCCGCAGGGAATTCTTACAAGCCCCCAATAGATTCTTATCCAAAGAACTTCAAGTGCATGAGCCTCATCGTTGTGCCTTGCCAAAGGTACAAAGCAGAAGGATTTCATTTTTCTCCTCTTCACCCGTTGGTAAAGGGAGTGATTCCCACCCTAAAGTTATGGGATGTCCGGATGCTGAACAGATGAGCTCGACACTAATTTATTACCCATGTCTACTCGTGGCCCACACCATGCAGGGCCACAAGGGGGTTTTACCTGGGAGCAGAATGAAGAAGGGCTTTGGGGCGGGGGCAGACCTTGTAGTAACAAGAGAGTGACGGTGAGCCCTACTTCCTGCAGGAGGGCATGACTGGCTTGCTGGATAATTGCACACGCTGTCAGGGAAATGGACCTTACTCCTTGGGGAGAAACTGTGCCTGGTCCCTGGGATAAAGAAGGTCGTTTGGCCAGGAGACCTGATCTGTGGGAGCAGAGGGGGAAGGGAACTTTGGGTGAGACCGAGGCCATTGGAGGCCCTCTGATGTTCCCTGATACTAAGACAACACTTCCTATTGAATCTTAATCTCAGGCTTTCCATCACAGTGGACTCTGATATCTAGACATCAATTTCAACCTGGGACTGAGACTTTTAAGGAGTAGGACAGGTGCTTCTCTAGGAAGTGAAATTGTCACGTGAACAAGAGGGGGAGTTGGTCTTCAAAACCAAAATGTATCAACGGTCATTGATGGTCACTCAGTTGATCCCAAGGGAATCCTTAGGTAGCCAAGGGGTAGAAGGAAAGGCTGACGTCCTCCAGCACCATGGAATCTGGCAATGGACTGTGGATAGAAGCAGCCACCCCCACCTGCAGGTTGGATATGCAGACTTTGGCTTCAGCCTGTAGCAAGAAGGCCTTGGTAACTACATTAAGCTGGTGGGGGTATCATGACCCGAGGCAGAGCAGACAGCGGGATATGAAGGCTCAGAGTCTGTAAGAGACTCCGTTTCCAGGAGAGCCCAGTGCATGGTCAGCAATTGCTGCTTTCATGGTCTATAACCCAGGGCCAAGGAGGGCCATTTCTTGCATTGGGAGTCCATGGACGATTCCAGTGACTCCAGGAAGCTGGAGAGGTAGTTGCTAAAGCCTTTTTACTTAGGGCACTAACGGGTGATTTTTTTTTTTTTTTTAAGATTTTATTTATGTATTTGAGAGACAGTTGGAGCTGGAGGAGGAGGTCAAAGGGAGTGGGAGAAGAAGCAGGCTCCCCACTGAACAGGGAGTTCCCTGCCAGGCTGGATCTCAGGACCCTGAGATCATGACTTGAGCCAAAGGCCGACGCTTCACCAACTGAGCCAGCCAGTCGCCCCCTCACAGTTGTTTTGGACAGATCCTAGAGCCTTTTGTTGAGGGGAGCCCCACCCAGCGTGGGCTCAGTGACAAGTAGCAGCCTAAATGGGCTTATGTAAAATTTATAAACAAGGAATATGTTGCCTCTAGAACCAAAAAAAAAAAAAAAAAAATACTGACAGAATTTGGACTTGTATGTCCTTCCTTGTTTGTAAGGATTTTATTTGGTTACTTGAAAGAGCACGAGAGTGAGAGCACAAGGGGCTGGTAGGGGCAGAGGGAGAGGGAGAAGCAGGCTTCCCAGTGAGCAGGGAGCCTGATGCGCGGCTTGTTCCCAGGACCCTGGGTTCATGACCTGAGCCGAAGGCAGACGCTTAATGGACTGAGCCACTCAGTCGCCCCTGCACCTGCATGTCCTTAACAAGTGTGTCAAACAAATGTCCTCACAGTAGGTAGTCGTAAATGTGATGTCATACCTATGTCCCTGGAGAAGGACGGGTGCAGTAAGATCCTGCCCACAAAGATGTCTGTGATAGCAGAGAGGTTTGGGTGCCCTGTGCTTAACAAGGTAAAATGTGTCCCCTTCAAAGTCAAGGCACATTTGACCGAGAGGATGTTGAAATACGCATGGAACAGAACATATTGGCCAAATCTATATTAGCAAAATATTCCCCATCCTTAAATTTGTTGGGCTCCCTTGTGTTTTTTTTTAAAGATTTTATTTCTTTATTTTAAAGAGAGAGACACCTAGTGCACGAGCCCAGTTGGGGCGGGGGGGGGCGGAGGGAAGGGCCGAGTGAGCGATTCCCAAGCTGACTCCACCCTGAGCACGGAGCCTAACATGGAGCTGGATCCTATGAACCTGAGACCATGACTTGAGAAGAAAGCGTAGCCCACTGAGCCACCCAGGTGGCCCTAGGGGTCTCAGAGGTTTTCAGGGGACCAGGATTTATTTTAATCAGGTATGATAAGTTAGGAAGATATAGAAGTAACTGTCACAATGGAAGAAGTTTTGTAGATTTAGAGGCCCCAAGAAAGGAGGTTCTGAGAGCCTTGCAGGGCCACCTGGGGAAGCACCAGGATTGGTCAGGAGAAAGAGGGAGTGAAGGGAAAATGTGGGCAAGACCCTTTATTGTGGTTTCCATGGGAAGGGACAGGTGAGGCAGGATAAGCACGTTTAAGACTGGCTAGTTTGAGTAATTTCAGGGGGCTCCAGGCCAGAGTGGTGTCTGCAGGAGTCTGTCCCGCCCTTGCGGTGATCAGGGAGGCCATAGTGGCCCAGAGCTGCTTAAGATGAGGTGGTTGGCAGTAAGGGTTCTGTACCGGTTGGTTTGGATGTGAAAGGTATGCTCCCAGGCCAGTTGTGGACTTTTTCTAAGAATTAACTAAGCCTGCCAGGGACAGTCCCTCCAAAGTCAGCAAGTCTGAGATGTCAAAGCATTAAATACAGAAGCTAGAAAATACGGTTATTTTACTAGGTACAAGCATAATTGGAGCCCTGGTATCGAATCCATGAAGGTTACCCAACTGGTACATCTTAGCAGACATTAACGTTAATTCAGAACCTATGTTTTAGAGGGCCAAAAGCCAGTTGACCTCATTTTATCTTTTGCCATATAAATTATCTTAGTAAATTTGGATTTCTTTTTTTTTTTTTTTTTTTTTTTTTACGGTTTATTCATTCATTTGAGAGAGAGACAGCAAGCAGGTGTGAAAGAGCAGGAACCAGGGGGAGCTGCAGGCAGAGGCAGAGGGAGAAGCCGACTGACTCCCCTCCAAGCAGGGAGCCTCTCATGGGGCTCAATCCCAGGTCCCCGGGATCACGGCTGGAGCCGAAGTCGGACGCCTAAGCATCCGAACCACCCAGGCGCCCCTGTGAATTTTGGATTTCCAGTTGGGTCAAATTGTGAACCTATGTCGAATTAATTTGGGGGGGTTCCTCTTCCTGTATCCAGTTTTCTTTCTTCCATTCCTCCTTTTCTTGGGTTTGTTTGGTCCTGGATATATGCTTGGGTTAGGGAGTGTCTTTTTACCCTGTTCATCT